TGGAAGACTTCATTTAGTTCTCCCTTCTTCTCGAATGCTTTCTATCTGCATGATCATCTTTCGGCCCTGCAGACTTTCTGGAAGGTGTCCTGATTTTGCTGTGTTTGAAGAATTTTGACTTAGTTTGTAAAGTTGTTCTGGAGCCTGTTTTGGCCTCTGTACAGTTTTGCTTCACCTGGGTCAAGCTTGCTCTCTTTTTTTCTTTGCTTGAAGGAATAATGTCCAGTTTTTCAGTTGGGTAGTGATTGTGGGTTTTTTTAAGTTTTATTTATTTATTTTTTAAATGTAACTGTAGTTCCTTCGTTCTGTTCTCAGTTCTTTTGCCAATGTTCTCAAGGCTTACGCTGAGTCTCTGATGAAGTGTCTTTACACAGTCTTAATGCCTCTTGCAAGAATTTAATTTCTTTGGCTTTTATTTTCATTTCCTTTTAACAAGCTTCTTTTGATTTTGTGGACTCCCTCTTGGAAGTTAAATAGTGGCATAGTGCTTTGGAGGGTAGGGTGAGGTGTAGGGTGTGGTGTTTTTTTTTTTTTTTTTCCTCGTTATTGTTGCTGCTGCTTCAAGGAAGCTGAATTTGAGAACAGTATAAAACTCTTGTGTAATATTGATCATGGTCACACTGCAGCTCTAGGTCTATATCGCAAATTGTGCTGGCTCTTCTAGGTTCTTCTGAGAAAAGAGTATTTACGGAATCCAAAAATGCAGTCTGCGTCATCCCTGTCATGATGCTTATTTAGCCTGCAGGGGCACTGTTGGAACTTCTCACTGTTGTATTTTTTCTGCCTTTGCAGCATCTTTTTCTTCCTCTATTTTAACACTTCAGTTGACCTTCTCAGTTGGGTGGTCTTCTCTGTCAATATTTGTGCTTACTGAAGGAGTTTTGTAGGGCTCCTGTATTCCTATTGCTGACTTAGTTTTCTTTGAGCTGGAGACCCTCTCCTCCATTGATCATTTACAATTTTTATGCTGATACTGCACTGATTATCTTCCTTCAACAGACTTTTAGCATATGAACAGCTGATAACTTTAAGTTCAGCTGTTTGTATACTAAAAATCTGTTGAAGGAAGATAATCAGTGCAGTCATCCCATTTTCCATTTCAAGATTTTGGGTAGACTTATACCATCTTACTAGCCACTTGCTCTTCATCTTGTCGCCTGTTCTTGTATACACTTGAATCTTGAATATAATGTTGTTGTTAGAATGGTCCCTGACAGATACATTCCTTCTATCCATTATCAGCCTTTAAAGAATAAGTCATCTGAACAGTGCACTCTGCCATAGTTCTTGATGTCCCTGCTATTCTATTTAAAAATAACCCCAAAGCCTTCTTAAAATAAAGTGGTAGCAGCCAGGTTTCTGCAGAGAGATTCTTGAAGTGTTGTGTGTTTTGGATATGGGGATGTGCTGAATTTTGGGAACTAGAGCCTATCTATGTAAGACTTGGAGACCTTTCTGCCTGTACAAAGGCTGGGGATGCTAATATGTATGCTGGTAAGAGGGACTGCACTAGGAACCCAAATGACTGATGGCCTCTGTAAGGAGGGTAGCACAGACTGTTGCAGAATCAACCTTGGTTTTACATTGCTTTATTTTTCCAGCCCTGCCCTGAAAGATGTGGAGAAGGGAGAAAAGTTATTTTCCATTTACTAAGACATTTTTAAATTTTCTGGTTAACGGGTTACAGTGTTGTCTGTTAGGGTGATGGTGATGTGGGCACTGGCCTGCTGAGAATTGGGCTCTTTGTGAAAGGTTAAAGTATGTGCTGTGTAATACTTGCGGTGTTGTTGAGCTTGTCTTTGTTGCTAAAAATGATATGAATGATCCAGGGTCTGTGAGTATCCTTCAGAAAATCTTTACTTTTAGTCAAGTGAAGGGTCCTAATCTTCATAGGATTAATAACATCAGTTGCTCTGAAATATAAAATGTATCTTCTATTGCTATGATTACTGAGAGTTCCCCTCCCTCCTTCTACCACCTAGTCTTTCTCAAAGGTTTAACAAATTCCTGGTGGATAAAAGTGGTTCTTTTTTGGGGAGGGGAAGAGATCCATTTATGGTTAGAAAAATTGTTTAGGTCTTCTGAAAAGACACCAGCAGTGTCTAAGAAAGCTGAGTAAACCTGCCTCTCATTCTATAAGAAGTGATGACTATAGGACTTCCAAGTAAAGAATTTCCAAATGATTTGCAAAACAGATTCTCAATACCCTGTCTGCTAGGAACATCACATGAATCTTGTTTTTTTCGGGTAGGAGAAGCTAGAGTGAGACCTGAAAAGAGTGAAACTCGTCCTTGAGAAACTTATGTCAGAGGTCAGAATAAAGCGTGGGTCTCTTCTCCTTTCCTGTTCTTGTGTTGCTGCAATTCAGCGGCTCATGGGGCTAGCACGTGATTGCAAAGAAAAGGAAGCAAGAAGCACCTAGGAGAGGAATCCAGGCCACTTCTTACATAAATGAAACAGTGATAAAACAAGGAGCAATTTCCAGGAAGATGTATTTAGAGCTTATGTGGTAAAGGGTGGAAGTGCACGTGTGAGACCTGTTATGTAAGAGCTAGTAGGACTCTTCGCTCGAATGGAAAGGAGCAATGTTGAGTGTCTTTTCCTCAATGCTTGAATATTTGGGAATGCTAAAGAGATATGGATGAAGCCCAGTGTGGCTGTGTCCTGGGCTAAGCAGGCATGCCAGAGCCACAGGCCTACACTTTGGCCACAAAGCAGGGCAAAGTAAATGTGAGCATTTGTGTTTGGTGCTGTTGCCTTTTCTGTGCAGCTTCCCTTGCACAGGGAAGGGGGAGATGTGCAACTTAATGAAGGTCAGAGCTTGAAGCCTCTAATACACCTAATAGTTGTGCTCCCTGGTAGTCAGAGAGTCTCAGGGGTCCACATGCATTGCAAAGGAGGAGAGCAGCCCTGACTCGCTGAGACAAGAGGCTTGGAACAGGCCATGTATGAATTAAGTTGAGCTCTGGCAAGTTTAGTCCTGTGTCAGAGGATGCCTATGCTGTGTTGGTGTTAGGAAGTTTTAACCTTCCTAATAGTCTCTTAAATCTCTTACTAAGCTCTTTCACTTCTTGATTTGGTATCTGGGACAGCACAACTTGTGACTGTCTTCATTCAGTTTAACCAACCTGTGAATGTTCTTATTCCTGACAGTACCCTGAACTGGTGGGGCACATCTGTAAACTTTTTGGTGACTCTTCCCACTGGCTGCCTTGCCTGCCTTAGTCCTTTCTTTCCATACCTGGAGAGTAACAGACCCTTTTTAGGGACAGTGAAGACATTAAGCACTGTAGAATGCTTCTGTAAGGCAGCAGCTGGCTATTGGTGTTGTCTTGCTGCTGTTCAGTTCCCAGTGAGGCATTAATAGTATCCTCTCCAGTCCATTATCATAGAACAACTGGTTATGGTGGTGCTAATTGATTCCTATTGGTCTAATGTTTTCTATAAGGAAGTGATGAATGCAATGGGCTTAATTTGACTGTTTCCTCATTTCCATGTTTTGCATACTCCTACTTGGTCCCTTAGTGTGATGAGGGCAGTGGATCTGTAGAGGCTGTATTGGTCTAGCACAAATAACCACTGTGTGTGTGTGTGGGTTTATGCTGCTAATCTGCCTTGGTTCAGTTAGCACTGTTCTGGTACTGTTACTGCTTTCCTGACTCCAGGCAAATGGTACAGCTTGCAAAAGAGTTTGGAAGTCTGTTTCAAGCAAGGATGAGAACGGCTGTATGGTCACCTGGTATTTCTCTTTCTTGGGGTGCTTTCTCAGTCCCCTCTGTTGGAGATTGTTGTGTGGGCCTTGTCACTGTTCATAACAGAGAACATAGTCTTAAATCAGCAAATAACAAAAATTTAGGCTGTTGCTGAACAAAAAATGTCTTTTGCCCCAAACAAAGGTGAGCATGCAGAGCCTTGAGAGCAAGGAAGAGCTGAGCTTGAGCATTGCTCTTTTTCTGATATCTGAGAGGGCTGCAAGTGCTGGGAAGGGCCAGAGTATCAGGGAAATAAATACACAGTGCCTGGGAACCAAATGGTGATTGAAAAAACAGCGAAACACAGACTGGGAAAGTGGCTTTTGTAGGCTCCTCTTGTGCTCACAGTACTCACAAATGTGCTGAGTGCACTTTGGCTCCCACTTTCTGAAAAGTGCCCCTAAGCACCAAAGCAGGTATTTCTCCCCGAGCAATTCTCTTTCCCATTTGAGGGTGACACTGAAGGTCTGTTCCATTGTCAGTCCCATTTATCAGTATGGAAAATTCTGTACTGCCACAGCTGCTTGTTGCTGTCCTGGAGAAACAGGTGTGGAGTTGAAAGCCCTAACATCCCCACTGAAGTGTCAGCACTTCCGTTGCTCTCAACCACGATGTTTTTCTAGGTTCTTCTGGTGATCGTAGGGTGAGCCTTGTCTTAGGAGAGGGCTCATTAGGAAATGATGTCTTAGAGTGGCTGAGCCAGATTAATGTCTTGCTCATTGGGAGTGGGCAGGTTTCTGTCTCAGTCCTTGTGCTTGTCTGGCTGGAAACTAAATTGGTTCAGCTCATTAACCGACCAAAGAATTGTGGTGGGTTTCGATGACCTTGTTTTCTACCATTTTTCATGAGCAAAATTGCCAGGTGATGAGGCCACCACAAGAGCAGATGCAAGATAAGGAATTGGATTTGTGTGTGTGGACAGGAACATAAATGCATGGGGGAGGACAGGGAAAGCAAGACCTCCGCTTTCATGGAAGCAGATATTCAATCTGCTCAATTATATTGCAAAACCTTGCCTTGAATATCCTGACAGTTCTGAGTGCAGTGAGGGGACCTCTCTTGTGGCCTAATTGCAATGAGTGTCTGGCTTTTCAGTTTTTAATTGTTGGGTGGCAAATACTTTTACCTTGATTGTGAAATTGGGTTAGGCTCAATTGAGCTGTTACTGGGCATCAGGGACCTGGGTTGTGGGGTGGTGGCAGTGTGGTTTCATGTCACACCCCTGTGTGTCCCCTCTCTCCTGCTCAGCTCGGCATTGCTTTGGGCTTCCTGGTGCCTCCAGTTCTGGTTCCAAATGTGGAGGATGTGGAGAAGCTGGCCTACCACATCAGCATCATGTTCTTCATGACTGCAGGCACGGCAACAGCCCTATTCATCCTGGTTGTCATAGGTAAGGAGGTGGGACAAATGAAACCAAGTGGGACTGATAAGATCAACCTGTGTGTATGTGAGAGGTGCGTGTTAAGAACTGGGCTGGGGATGTCATCTGGGGATGTGTCCTAGCACACAGCTGACAGGGTCATGCAATACCATATCTTACTGATTCAAGCCCTTGGTGAACAGCAGGTGAAGAAGGGAGTACAAAAAGTTGTGAGTCTCTGATTGCCTGCATAATAAAACTCTAATTATGAGTAAGACCTCTAAAAGCCAACTGAAATCTTCCAGGCTTCACGGTCATCTTGTCTGTAGACAGGGAGCTAAGGCCTTGGGTTATGTCTTGGACATGACTACCTGTTAAGAGTAGGCAGAAAGAGGCAAGTTATATGGCATTGCAGGAATAAGCTGTTCCCACAAGGAAAAAAGGCAACCAGTTATGAGTGGAGAGAAGGAAGCATTAAGGGCAGTAGCAGGACACCAGAGGTGCAATTCCCCGGCTTAACTTGTGAAGTGGAAGCCAGATCTTGAACATGAAAGATTGGCATGCTCACTGCAGAGCAGAGCTTGTCTGCTGAACTTCATGTAGGTGGTGGTGGTGGTTGTTTTTTAATAGGCTCCTGTTGCCAGCTTGTTTATATTGCCTGGTGGCTGAATCAGATACAGGCTTTAAAGAATCTAGGGCAGGGAACAGGCAAGGTAAGAAATGTCTGTTTAACACCTGGTATAGCAGTATTGCCTGTGACCAGGATTTTTGGATGCTACTTTAATGCTAGTTAGGGACAGTAGATGGCTTGCCAGTCTAAGAAGTGCCAGGCCTGAAGTAAAACCTGGCATAGGTATTTGCTCCCTAGGCACTGGGCACTGCAGAACAACAGGCCACCTTTGCCAGCTGGCTTTTCCTATTCCATTTCTGTGTTTGTAATTCCATGCAACACTTTAGCTGGCTGGCTATCCTCCTGGAGACAAAGGCTTCTGTAGTCCTGAGAAGTCTTTTGTTGCTGCCAGACACGGTCTACACAAAAAGCTAGTTGAAGGCAAGGTGTTTCGCCAGTGGCAGGAGTTACTGTTGGAGACAACCTCTTCTCTCTTGTTCCTAGACAGTTTTATGCACAGAGATCAAAGCTTAAGGATGATGGTGGGTGTGTTTTGTACACTTTGTTTTACTACTCCCTCTGCCATCCCTCAAATGTCTCTAGCCAGTGTGTGTGCGTGCTCAGGCTCCCTGGTTGCACTGTTACAAACAGATTACTTTGTGTCTGGTTTCAGTCTTCAAGGAGAAGCCCCCGTACCCTCCAAGCCGAGCTCAGGCCATGATCCAGTCGAGACCAACAGAGGAGTACTCCTATGTGCAGTCCATCCTCCGTCTGCTCCGCAACACCAACTTTTTGCTCCTTATGGTCACTTACGGTAAGGTCTGGCTTTTCTTCTGTGCAGTTACTGTTGCTGGATATGCTTAGCTTCTCCTTCCTCCCTCTCCATGCTCTGCCAGCGCCTGGAGGTGTTCTTGGGGAGCATAAGGATTGCTGTACTGCTACAGACCAGGAATCCTTCCAGCCCAGTAATTTCCAACAGTGGTTACAAGCAAATGCCCCGGGAAGAACAAAAGCAAGGCAAGCACACGGAGGACAATATGCCCCCACTACTGTCCTTCCAGTCTTTTACTGCTTTCTGTTCAGGGAAATTCCTTCTCCTGGTGTCTGTTTTTCTGGTCAATTAGTTACTTGCAGTTAACTCATCCAAGTGCTTATGTAAGAAATGTATGGAGCTGTGTCTGAATGCAAGTCACAGCACTGAGTCAAAGTCATTTCCCAAGGCAAATCCGTGGCTGCCAGGCATCCCAGTAGAGATCATGTGGAGCATGCAGATGTCCAGACTGAGTCAGCTTCCTTGTCAGTCTCTGAAGCAAATGAAAGAAAGGATTGGAGAACATCTTTTGCCACCTGTCCTTGCACACTGTACTTGCTGCTTGTTTCTCTTCAGCAGTCTTGGCGTGTTTCTCTGAGGGTGGTGTGATGTGTTGAATTTGTTCCTTGCACTGAATTGTCATGCGGAATAGTATTTTTCACTTCAGAAGAAAGGCCATGTGGTCTACGACTGGCTGTATAACAGGGTATATACTGTAGCCAGCTAGTCTGCAGGGAGTTCTGTCCTTACGTCCTACCAGCTTGCTGTGGAGGCCCGTCAGTGAGAAAGTTAAATAGTGCTGGAAGTTCTGCCATTCTGCCAGCAGTTTTGCCCAAAGAACCTGATGAGTATCAAGGCTGTAGAGTAAGATGGTGGCTTTGTACCTACTGAGGGTGGTAGTGGTCTTAGGAGTTGTTGAAATCGCTTCTTCCTTCTCAGTACAGTAGTATTCCAGAAATGCCCCTCTCAGATGGCCCTTAAGTTCTGCTGGTTTGCTTTGCAGCTGCTGTTTGTGTGGTGTGGTTTTTTTTTTTTTTTTTTTTTTCCAATAGTAATGATGTCCTCTCAGAAAGTGGAGATAGAAAAAACTGCCAGGCAGACTGTGTCCAAAAGTTGGATTGTATCATCTGCTCAGTTTGCACTCACCTTCCAGAGAAAAGCAAGGGGAAAGCATTAGTTCTGAAAGTCCTAGAGGAGAGAGGAGTGTTCTCAGTATGAAGAGCGTTAGAATCTGACCTCCCTTGGATAACTCCTTCCTGGCAGTCACAAACAACGTGGAAAAGCTGCTCAGTGGCTCACAATTCTGTCTCTCTTCCTGCT